TGTTTAAGAAATGATGACAAGAAAAATCTGTACATGTTCAGTACAGCTGCAGTTATCCTTTTTTAAAAAAATATTTTTCAGCCAGGCTCGGTGACTCAGCCTATAATCCCGTGCTTTGGGAGGCCGAGGTGAGTGGATTGCCTGAGCCCTGCGGGTTCGAGACCTGCCTGGGCAACTTGGCGAGACCTCATCTCTACAATAAATCAAAAAATCAGCCGGGCGTGGTAGTGCACACCTGTAGTTCCAGCTACTTGGAAGGCTGAGGCAGAAGGATCGCAAGAGCCCAGCAGGTTGAGGCTGCGGTGGCCGGGAGCAGCCATTGCCCTCCAGTCTGGGCGACAGAGTGAAACTCCAACTCAAATAAATAAATAAATATTTTTTGATCTATAGCTGGTTGAATCCACAGATGCAGAACCCACAGATAAAGAAGGCCAACTGTACTTACAAATGAATATGTAGCCATGTGTCACTGTGATGGGGATATATTCTGAGAAATGCATTGTTAGGCAATGTTGTCATTGTGCAAACATTGTATACTTACACAAACCTGAATGGTGTAGCCTACCACACACACAGTAAGCTATATGGTATAGCCTATTGCTTGTAGGCTGCAAACCTGTACAGCATGTTGCTGCCCTGAATACTGTAGGCAATCAAAATCCAGTGTTAGATATTTGTGTATCTAAACTTGTCTAAACACAGAAAATGTACTGTAAAAATATGGTATTATAATCTGTTATACGTGTGGTTTGTTGTTACCCAAAGTATCAATCAATATAGGGCTCATGACTGTATTTAAAAAGGAAGATTGATAGAAAACTAATGAACTGAGCACTAAACTAAGGAAGACTGAATAGGAACAACAGGATGAATTCCCCAAAATAGAAAGGAAGGAGTAAAGTTTCGAACAGAAATTGTTAAGTAGAAAATAGGGCAATAATAATAAAAAGCAGCAAAGCCAAAAGCTGGCTCTTTGAAAAGTCTCATGAAATGATAGGCTTCTGGCAAGACTGATTTTTTTTTTCCAAGTAGCAGAAGGAACAAACAATATATGTTCCAAAAGAGCTGATAAACTACTCTTTTCCAGCCGGGCTTGGTGGCTCAGCCTGTAATCTCGCGCTTTGGGAGGCCGAGGTGAGTGGATTGCCTGAGCCTGCGGGTTCGAGACCCACCTGGGCAACTTGGTGAGACCTCATCTCTACAATAAATAAAAAATTAGCCGGGCGTTGTTGCACGCGCCTGTAGTTCCAGCTACTTGGAAGGCTGAGGTGGAAGGATCGCCAGAGCCCAGCAGGTCAAGGCTGTGGTGGCCAGGAGCGGCCCCTGCACTCCAGTCTGGGTGACAGAGTGAGACTCCAACTCAAAAATAAAAAATACTCTTTTCCTAAATCTATGATGAGCAATTTGAGATATATCAGCCAATGCTTCCTAGTGTAGTCCACAATGTAATTTGAGTGTGAGATTTAAAAACCTATGTTGTTGTTATTGCTTCTCAAATATCACTGTTTCAATGTATAAAAAGCAATTCCAATCTTCTCACTGATAACTTTCTATTCAATAATGTAGGTGATATTTTTTTATTTTAAATTTTTTTATTTTAAAGATGTGAGGTACAATTCAGGGTTAGGTACGTAAGGGGTCATCATACAGGTAAAGTTTGGGCCTCCCTTTGGTCCTCGCTTCTGATTTGGGATCAGGCACCCATAAGAGTTATGTGCCTCCCCCCGCCCCACCCTGGCAGTGACCCGCTACCGCCAATCCTTTTCACATAATATTATGATAAATGTTCAGGGCCCACTTATGAGTGAGAACATGTGGTACTCAGTTCTTTGTTTCTGTGAAATAGAAGTTTAATATATGTCTTGTGTTTTCATCTATGGTTTTCTATAAAATAGATAATGTTCAGCTTGATTTTTTTAAAGACAGATTTGTATACCTAACCCTGAATTGTACCCCACATCTTTAAAATAAAAAATTAAAATAAAATAATAAATTTTGTCAACGTTCTCTAAAATCACAAATAAAATATTGTTACTCTTTTCCCCTTACATCCTTTACTAAATAAATTTTTTAACCATATATTCTGTTTGGAATTTAAGAATACAGACAAGTCAAATATTTAAAAAGTTAATAAACAAGAGAAATAACAAAGTGCTCTAGCAAAATTTTAATCATACGTTTTTTCTTTTTGCCATTAGAAATATTTTGAGGTAACAATTTAATTATGACAGAATTTTTTTGAGAGAGGAAGGCCTAAGGTCCAAAGTAACAAATGAGCAAGATTATTGTTAATCTGTTTCTGAACCAGTTTCCTCAGTGACATTGAGTTTCTGTTGATTGTTTTATTGTTTATGCTAAAGAGTTTGGGTTAGTCACTCATTTGCTTGTTTATTCAATAAACATTTCCCAAAAGCCATTATATGTAAGACACTGATAATCCTGATAACCTTTTTTTTTTAGAGACAGGGTCCTTTCTCTTTTGCCCAGACTGGAGTGGAGTGGCATGATCATAGCATCCACATCCTTGAACTCTAGAACTCGAGTGATCCTCCTGCTTCCGCTTCTTGAATAGCTGGGACTACAGGCAAACACTACCGTGCCTGACTAATTTTTTAAATATTTTTTGTGTAGATGAGGTTTTGCTTTGTTGTCTAGGTTGGTCTCAAATTCCTAGCTTCAAGCAGTCCTCCCACTTTGACCTCCCAAAATGCTGGGATTATAGGCATGAGCCACCGTGCCAGCCTTTGAAAGTCTTAACTATGCCAATGTATGTCCTCTGAACTTGCTTGTTATACATCAAATGTGTTTAAAGTATATAGTGTATATAGTACCATAAAATACGTTAGGACAGACAACTAAATAGTCAGCTCATAAAACAATTATCTACTTCACCTTTGGTAAGTGGAAACATTATGTTCTACTAGTGCTGTAAAGTCGAGCTTAAGTTTCAACCCAGTGGGCATTTGAGGAATTATGACTTATTTACATCCTGTGTCTTCACTTGTGCCTCGGTCAACTTGTGAAACCTGTTAAAAGTTCATAAGCCATGATCTTAGATAACTCATAGCATTTTAAGTGGAATGTAGCCATTTTTAAAAGTAGTACCTAATATAAGTACTTTAACGAATGATACATTTTAGTAGACACTAGAAAAAGGATTTACTGAATAAATATGCACTTAAGATTCAGGTCCTCAAAAAATTAAAAATGGAATTATTATATGACCTAACAGTCCCAGTATTGGGCATATATTCAACGGATGGGAAGTCAGGATGTCGAAGAGATAGCTGCACTCCTATGTTCACTGCAGCACTATTCACAATTGCCAAAATATTGAAGCCACCTAAATGTCCATGTGTGGATGAATTGATAAGGAAAATATGGTATATATTCACAATGGAATACTGGCAAGCCCTTAAGAGAGGGAAATTCAGCCATTTGGGACAGCATGAATGAATCTAAAGGACATTATGCTAATGAAAGAAGCCAGGCACAGACAGACAAGTACCACATGATCTCACTTACATGTGGAAACTAAAACAGTCAAACTTGTAAAGCAGAGAGTAGAGTGGTAGTTACTAGGAACTGGTGGTGGAGAGGGCAGGGAGACTGGGAAGATGTTGGTCAAAGGATTAAAAATTTCAGACAGGAGGAACAAGTTCAGGAGATCTATTGCATATATGGTGACTATAGTTAATAACAATGTATTATATACTTGAAATTGTGGACAGTAGATTTTAAGTATCCTCATCACAAAAAAATGATGAATATTTAAGATAATGGATTTGTTAACTAGCTTGATTTAGCCATTTCACAAGGTGTGTGTGTGTGTATGTGTGTGTATTTGTATATATAAACATGGACACTATAAATATACATTATTTTTGTCAATTAAAAAAATAAAATAGGTACCTTCACCTATTAAATCAAATTTACTGTGATATTACTAGAAACTTTAACTGCTTTCTGGGTATTAGTATCATCAATCCCTTGTTATTAACTTGAGAAAAAAAGTAGGGATGAAATAATGCAAACTGGAAGCCTTAATATATATATATTTTTTCTTAATATATTTTTGGTTAAAGTATTTGATGAAGGCCAGGCATGGTGGCTCACACGGTGGCAGGCAGAGGCAGGAGGATTGCTTGAACCCAGGAGTTCAAGATCAGCCTAGGCAACATAGCGAGACCCTATCTACAAAAAAATTTAAAAATTAGCTGGGCATGGTGGTGTGCACCTGTAGTCCCAGCTGCTTGGGAGGCTGAGGTGGAAGGATCGCCAGGGTCCAGGAGGTTAATGGTGTGGTGAGCCTTGATAGTGTCACTGCATTCCAGCCTAGGCAACAGAGTGAGACCCTAACTAAAAAAAAAAATTGTTTTTTGATGGAAGTATCCTTTATCTAGTAAAATGTACTAATGCATTTTAACCATTGTATAATCTATTTAATATGCCAACCACCAGTGGAAGTTTTATTCAAAAGATTTGTTCTTATGTAACATTATCATGAATAAAAATTAGGAGAATATGACAGGCTCAGTGGCTCAGCCTGTCATCCCAGCACTTTGGGAGGCCGAGGCGAGTGGACTGACTGAGCCCCGGAGTTCAAGACCAGCCCGGGCAACTTGGTGAGATCTTGTCTCTACAATAAAGCAAAAACTAGCCGGGCATGGTAGCACGCATCTGTAGTTTTGGCTACTCGGAAGGCTGAGGCAGAAGGATCGCCAGAGCCCAGCAGGTTGATGCTGGGGTGGCCATGAGCAGGTGTGCCACTGCACTCCAACCTGGGCGAAGGAGTGAGATTCCAACTCAAAAAAAAAAAAAAAAAAAAAAAAATTAGGAGAATGGGAAACGAAAAAGACAAAATAGGATACTTTGTCTTTTCCTCCCTCTTTCATTTGTCCACCCTTTTACTTTCTATTTAAAATTTAGCTATCTAAATTATTTTAAAAGCTTGTTTATTTCTCTCTTAACTTTATGTCCTTTTCCTTACACATATATAGGAAAGAGAAAAGAACTGAATCATCTCAGTTTAACTGAAAGAAAGAAATCTAGAACACAAGACGATGAGTAAGTTTCTCATTTTTGAAATTATATACACATGTCTTGCAGAAAATGTTCATATTTGTTAAAGGGATAATTTATATAAGTGATATAAATAATCATTTATTTGTAGAAATTAATAGCTTATACCTGAGCTGAAATATTCTTTCTTAAAGAAGAAAATCATCTTAGATGTGCTGTGTTTTGTGGTGCTCTGTAATGGTCATATGTGAAGCCTTTCTATACTACCCACTGAGCCCTGTTCTTCCAGCCCATGCATGATACACCACTTTGGGTAAAACTGAGAACATATATTTGAAACTTACATGGAGAGAAAAGTAATACTCGCCCTGGGCACATAATACCTCACAAATGCCTGGGTTGAAACAGAGCTAGAAACACAGGAAAGTCAGCAGAATAAGAGACCTAGAGGAAATATTTCACATTTGTGGATTAGTTTTAAACGATCAGAACATTTTATTTTGTCTTGGCAATACTTGCATTTCATTTTTTCTTTTCTTTGTGAAATATCACAGATAAGAGAGGGACTCGAGAGGAAGTAAGGCACCTGCTTCTAGAATGTTTCATGGGGCTTTGGTGCCTTGATGGAGTCACTGAGTTTTTGCCATTTTATTGTAAGAACACTATTCATAGAACAGTTGATATCAGTAATTTTCTCAGGGCATCCTCTTCTGAAAGTCAGTCTGTTCAGATTTGTTTTAAAAAGGGGTTTTAAGGGTATTCAGTAATTAGGATTAAGGGAGTAAGGTTTTTTTAAAAAATCTTCATTTAACTGGGTTAATTGTATATATTCCTTTCTCCATAATATTTCCGCCGAAATGATATCTTTCATAAAAGATGTTACTGTCACTTGGCTATCAGTATGGGACAAATTTTATCTGGATCCTTATCTCACACCATACACAAAAATAACTTCTAGGTGGATTGTAGGTCTGAATGTGAAAAATAAAAGAAAACTTTTAGAAGGAAATATACAACAACTTTCCATGACCTTGGAGTAGGCAAAGTACCAACCATAAATGGGAAAAAAATTGATAGACTGTTTTAAAACTCCTTTTCATAAAAAGCTTTTAAGAGTGTGAAAAGATGTGCAAGACAATCCAGTAGAGAAATGGGCAAAAGACTTGAATTGGCATTTCACAAGAGAAGACATTCATGTAAAGTGGCAAACACATGAAAAGGTGCTCAACTGGGAAATGTCATCAGGGAAATGCAAGTAAAACCTCCATGAAGTACCACTACATCCTCTTTAGAGTGCCAAGACATAGAAAACAAGGAAAATACTGGGTATATTTTCCTCTGAAGTGAGGAATGTGGAACAACCGGCACTCACATAAACTGCTGGTGGGATTATAGATAGATAAAAACCACTTTGGAAAACTGGCAACATCTAAGCCTGATACATGCATACCCCATGGCCCAGGAATTTTTCTCCAAGGTATATGACCAACAGAAATGTATGTATATAGTTGCCAGAAGACAAATACCATAATGTTCATTGCAGTTTAGTTCATAGTAGCCTCAGATTGGAAAATATCCAAATGTCCATCAGCAGTTGAATGGATAAACAAGTAACAGTATTTATCTCATGAACTGCGGTGAAAATGATCTACAACTAACAACAGTGTAGCTGAATATCACAAACATAATGTTGAGTGAAAAAAAAAGCTACGCTCAGAAGATTATATTTTGTGTAAATCAATTTGCATGGAGTACAAAATAAGGAAAACTAACAATACTGTTAAAAGTTAGGATAGGCTGGGCTCGGTGGCTCAGTCTGTAATCCCAGCACTTTGGGAGTCCAAGGCGAGTGGATTGCCTGAGCCTGCGGATTCGAGACCAGCCCTGGCAACTTGGTGAGACCTCATCTCTACATTTTTTTTTTTTTTGAGTTGGAGTCTCACTCTGTCGCCCAGACTGGAGTGCAGT